AAGCCTATATGGGTGCAAGTCCTTCACTCTCCATCTGCAGCTCTGCTTCATAAATCTGGTTTCTTTTCGTAAACAATTCTTGCAATTAGCTTCTTTCTTCCTGCCCCAGAAATATGTTCTTTTTTCGACTCCTTGAAGTGTCCAACTTGTGTACCTATCAGATACTTTATTTATAACTCTGCATGCTCCTCATCAGGGCGGGAAATATCATGTGCGCAGACGCCGGACTGATGCCGGACCAGCGCTTGTCCGGGAAAGTCCAGGGATAATGGTTTCTATTTTAGGATCTCTGGCTGTCAGGGGCTTTTGCAGCCCCAAGGTCAGATTTCTGCTCCCAGGGCGCCCTATTTTGCCCCCCCCCCCATCTTTACAAATGACTTCCGCTTTCCATATCGTAACTGAGTATTTTGATTATGAAACTAATCATCGTAAACAGAAAACCTGATCGCATGCAAAACTTGTTTTCTATTTCATTTTTTTTTTTTTTTAAATGATTGCTTTTTTTAAAAACTTGTATTTAAAAAAATTTTTATTTTGAAATAGTTTCATAATTTTTACCATTTTTATAACAGAAATATTTAATTTAAATAAGGCGAATTTTTAATCTCTGTAAAAAATTCTGGATCAAATTACGGTATAAAATATGGGCGCATCATCCGTAAAATTCATTTTACCGTAAAATCCATTATTACTTTGAAATATTATACCGTAATTTTTCACAGAAATATTTATTCAATTAGAATGATTCAGCAATTTTACGGTAATTATTACTGTAAAAATTACGGTATATCATAATCTTTCTGTTCTGTAATATATTCCGGTAAAAATGGATTTTACGGTAAAAAGTACCGAACCCTGTTTATTTTTACCGTTATTTGATCCTGATTTTTTTTTTTACAGTGCAGGCTTTGTTTTGTTTAACCATTAATAAAAATGAGTTTTTAATTTCCTCTATAACTTAAAATTTAGGTGAGTGATTCAAAACGAATACATTTTTATGTTTCAATATAAAAATATAAATCTCTAATATTTATTGAAGATAATTATACCGTAAATGCTAATTCCTTCCTTTTCTTAGAGGTGGTTGCAACCATAATTGAACTATTTGTTGAAAACTTTGGTATGCAACGTGCTGAAAATAGTATCAAATTTAATAGCATAGAAATTGAGATTTTTAAAAATCAAGATTTATTATCATTAACTTTTGAAGTGAAGTTAAATTGCCAGTCCTGCGTACTTAGAGGAAAACTCAAAAAATATAAAATAGCTTAAACATGTCGAAGGCTAATACCAAATGAAAAATAATGAATTATAATTAGTCAAAAAATTGTTCTGTCATTCATTTGGTAGAGTTATTTATGTCTGCTTTATTTTATAAATATCAAGGATTTTCAATTTTTAAAAGAATTTGAATTCAGTTTAAATTGCATCGCCATAGATTTGATGTATTAATTCAAGAAAAAGAAAAAAACAGTATTTTTTTTTCTTTCGCATTTGACTTACCGATTTTTATGAAGCTTGCCCTAGTAAGGGAATTGTTTTTTCGTATTACTAGACTTTATCTTGTAAAAGGATAATTATTTATTTTATTCAAAGCTGAGTCACGGTGACTCAGGGGATAGAGCGTTTGCCTCCTAATGAGGTGACTCCGGTTCGAATCCCAGTGATGACTGGTTGATACAAATTCTGCACCCGACACTCAACAACCACAACATAAAATATCCTCGATGGTAGATGGATCATGAGTTAGAATACTTTGTCTGTCCGGCTAACAGCAGGAGAGTTTCATGGTTTCCGTCACCACGTAACGCAAATGCGGGTTAGTTCCATCAAAAAGTAAACCAGAAAGCATAGTCTGTCCCAATGCTTGATCCAGGATTCCCCTTGTTTTTTGGGTTGGGATCAAAATTACAAGGCTACGTAGTTGAACTTTGAGAGTAGTAAACTAGGAACTGGATCGGCTGCTCAAAGCCGGTTATAAAATAAAATAAAAACGATTGAAGTTGCATAGATCTTAGAATTTACTTATCTATGAAAAGGTATTTTGACATACATCATTACTTGTTCATAAAAGTAAAACTGAAAACTCTAGGTCAGCAGTTTGCCTGTCGCAGGCTCTTTAAGCAACTTAAATATGACTTCCTATATTCTTCAGAATTTCTAGAATCTTTTGAAGTTTTAAGCGGAGGATCATAGCTCATCTTGTGAAACATCTCACTTTGATGATATTCATACAAAAAAAGATTCCCTTGGGGGCAAATATATTAAAATATTTTAATAAATGATTTTAAAAAGTAAAATAAAGTTTTTTTTAACTTCTTTAAATTATTAAAAAATTTAAAATGCGTAAGATGCAGCAATTACTTTAATAAAATAAAATAATTTTAAAACATTACTTTTATTTCAAATATGAAGTGAAACTGAATTAAATTTTAAAGAAAACATACTACCGTCAGTAGAAAGAGAACAAATGATAAGTGTCTATTATTAAATGCAAAGGAAATTAAGATTCTAAAAAAATGAAAATGTTAGACCTGTTTCCAATGAAACATAATTATAATTATTTATAATTACATTATCACTATAATTTCATAATTATTATTTTTATAATAATTATAACTTATCTAAAATTATTTTTTCTTATTCCAGAATAATTGCTTTTTAGTTTTAATTATGTCTTAAAAAATTAACTCCCTAATTTTTTCACGCACTGGAAATTGATTTACTGTATTATTTTATCCATAAAAGTGTTCAATTACTAAAATATTTTTTTCAAACCAATTTTAATGTTACTTAACTGCCGAATTCAAGCAAATTCTATTACTAATTAATTATTAAATTCATACGTATTTCATTCATAACATATTACATATTTCAGATATTACATGCATAACGTATTACACAACATTTTTATTCATACATATATTCATAATATTTCTAAATTATTGACTTCATGAAAATGTAATGTTGCTGAATTATTAAATTCATATTAGTTTAAATGTAACTTAATTAATTACTTGGAAAATGATATAATTACGTAATTATTAAATTCACGCGATTGCTGAAATTAATAAAATTTTAACTTTGTACCAATGTTAATATTATTGAATTATGAAATTGATACAAATTTTTTTAATAAGGAATCATTAAAAACACATGAATGCCAGTTACTTCATAGAAATTGCTGCATTCTCATACAATTAACTTCATACAATTGTCAATGTTGCCAAATTATGGCTTTTATACAAATGTTAATATTTCCTAATTATTAAATTAATATAAATGTATATAAATCTGCATTAACTTCATACAAATGTCATATTAATTTCCTATACATGTTAATATTACTGAATTACTGGCTTCATTCAAATGTCGCGCAATTATTATCGGTACCAAATACTATCGTAATATTACTGAGTTATTAACTCTATATAAATGTTAGTAATGCATTATAAATTTATTCTTTAGAGATGGTTTTCTTATAAATCACTTCATTTTTCCATTTATAAAGTTTGAAGTGATTATTTCAGTTTCTGATTCGGATCATCCTCGTGGATGTTTTCCGGACTGTCATCAATAGCAGTTTCTGTGCGACGTAAATAAATTTATACAGCAACAACTGTAGTTACATAGGAAAAAAAAGCAATTAACCCATGAAAACTCAAAATTAGCAAGTGTTTTCTAAATAAAATAAAGGTTATCGAACTGAACAATTTTGCGTTATCTCAAACTATATTACTACTGTTAAAATTATCGAATTCGACCACATTTACTACCAAACAGCGTGCTAATAAAAACTATATTTTGTTGTTAATTTTACCAAAAAATCACTACCACTGTAAAAATTACAGTTCTTCCATAGAGTCAGAAACACAGTAAATTTTCCAATATTTAAGAAGTTTTAACCGTGCTTTTTTCTCAGTGTAAAATTTGCTTCAGATAAAACAGTTTCTGTCAGAAATATCGCGCAGTGGACTTATCGTTAAGATACGGTTCTCAGTAGAACACCGAAGTCAAGCATCACTGGCTGCGGTCAGTGTGCGGGTGGGTGACCACTTGGGTTAATCTGCGTAGGGACCGAGGGTGTGCGATATTGGTCCTCGTTAAACTGTTCTACCGTAAAATGCTCGACTTCGTTTGCAGGTCGTCGAGCTACAGAAGCGGGGGTGCCATCCCTTCTGTAGAGAATCAAAATTGTGATGGCATGTCTTTGGATCATTCTCAGGGATGTTTCCCAGACTGTCTTAAATAGCCCATTGCGTAGCTCTAGTTCGACGTAAATAAACTACAACTGCAACTATTAGAAATATGAACACAAAATATAACCGTACTTACCACAGTTTTTATTTTACACTTGTTATTGTTTCACAACAAGGTATTTATTTGTAAAATCTTGAATGGATTTTATACTTATGTTTTGTTAATTCATTACAAACAATTTTCGTTGGATTTTAATAGTTCATATTTTATTAACTATCCTTTTTCAATTTTTTTAAGGTCTCATTGAGAAGGGGTGGCATGATTCAAAGCTGTCATAGTTGGAGTAGAAGAAAGGCCCGATAAACATAAGCCTCATTTTGAATTTCGTATCTTTATTAAACTTTGATCCATTTGCAGTTGCTTTGCAGAGACCGGTAAGCTTTATTTTGAATATAAATTGCTGTATACGATTATGAATGACTCATAATTTCGATCACCTTGATTATAAATTGTTTATAACCTATTCCAACGAGATCTTTAGTTTAGGTATCTTGGCTGAAAGGTTTATTTTGATTATAAATTCCTGTATAAGATTATGAATGACTCATAATTTCTATCCCCTTGATTATAAATTGTTTATAACCTATTCCAACGGGATATTTAGTTTAGATATCTTAGCTGAAAGATTAATTTTGATTATGAATTCCTGTAAAAGATTATGAATGACTCATAATTTCCATCACCTTGATTATACATTGTTTATAACCTATTCCAACGAGATCTTTAGTTTAGGTATCTTGGCTGAAAGGCTTATTTTGATTATAAATTCATGTAAAAGATTGTGAATGACTCAAAATTTATATCACCTTGATTATAAATTGTTTATAATCTATTTCAACGAGATCTTTAGTTTCGTTATATTGGCCGGAATGTTTAATTTGTTTATAAATTGTTTGCAAAAGATTATGACTGGCTCATTTCTATAATTTGGATTGCAAATTTCTTATCTATTTCCTTTTGATTATTAGTTGTTCATGATCAATTTAACTTTGATCATTAAAGGCTTATAATCTAATTAAATTTAATTATAAATTGTTTGAAATGAACTTTGATTGCAAATCATTTAAATTCTGTCATAAACTGTTTATAATCCATTTATTACTGATTATCATTTGATAACAATTTTTTAGATTTCAATATAATCTGCTTTCTGATTATGATTTCTTTTTTATTATGATATGATTTACGCTAGAAAAAAAATTTGTAATTCGGCTATTAGTCAGCAACAGTTGCTCAAAACAAAATAAGATAAAATATGGTAGGGTGATTTTTTGTCATTTTTATCGTCTTGCTTAACAATCATATTTTTAAACAACTGGCATATTAAAAACTAGTTTTAGAATATATAATAAAACAGAATTTTTGATTTTTTTTCAAATTTAAGAAACTTTTAGTTCATTTATCTTTTTGCAAACAAAATAATAAAATTACACATAAATTAAACTATAAAATTCAATTTCATAATATTTAAGCAATGCATCGTTAGAGTAATGAATGTATAACATTTTAGAAATTCTCAATATGGGAATATATTTATAAAATTATCTTAATTTACATATTATATGTATCACTCCCCAAATCAACTTCGGGATTACATTGAAATCACGACGAAAGCGAAATTCGACTATGCATGTATTTTTAAATATAGCTTTCTGTAATATTTTTGCATACAAATCTTAAATATAATCTCTTATCTCAAGTCTTTCTAAACCCAACTAATAAGCTATCTAATTTTGATGATATATGCTTGAACTGTTAATAACTTCTTCTAGCATCCACATCATACCAATAATGGATGTCTCTCAGCTGCGACTAATTTAACGCGCACCAGTTGTTTATCAAAAAACATATCTCAATTGAAGAGCTTAGTGAAAGAAGGTTCTAAGAGACTTTTTTCAACTTAATAAGCTATAAAAAAAATACATAGCAAAAGCAGAAAGGTGTTAATTAAACACATCTGAGCATTAAATACCGTCTTATTTGCTGAAGTGGAAATAAAACTCAATGCTTACGACTGACCTTAACTTTTTAAAACTCAAAATGGCGTACTTTGACAGTCACTCGGTATTTTCTTTCACTAAGTCTTTCTATGAAATACAGAGATAAAGTGTGTTTTAATCACTCTGTCAAAAATTAAGGTAAAAAGTACCGGCACTCAAGGTGCCGGTACTTTATACCGTAATTTGATTCGGAATTTTTTACTCGTTTTTTTTACATGATTTATTTACTTGCCCCACCACGGGATTCAATAAGAATATTCAAGCAACGAATAGAATCTCGTTCTTACACTCTTAGAAATGTCGGTTGTTATAATTAAAAGCATATTCGGTAATTTTGTTGAATACTCTTCTTTATTAAACTTCTCTGGCATTTGAGTCAATGTTAGTAAAGCTAACTTGAACTTGAATTTTATCCACTCTGCACAGCTTCCATTAGCATCAAAGAGATTTGGGTATAAATACATAGGTAATTTCTTTATCCTTTATCACTCATCCAATAATTTCTTTTCGTCTGTAGGGTCAGTCCAAGGCTCTAAAAACGTGTGCAGTCTTTCTGTGATGCACAACTTTACATAATTAATTAATCTCCCTTTAAAAGTATAAAACTGTTTCTCCCCGCTTTTAATATTTTTTAACTGAAAACTCACGATTCAAAGAAAATTAATGGTAGTTTGAGTTGAAACACAACATTTATCAGACAAATCTTACTCGCCAACATTAAGCAATCAGTCGTCAATGGCGAGTAGAAATTTCGCGCCCTACTTTATTATATATTTTTATATTTCTTGTTTAAAATGAATGCATATTTTATCAGTTATCGGTATGAGCTTTGTTGCATGCGAATATTAATAACGTATTTCCAATAAATCGCAAATATATGGAATCAAAGACTTACATTCTATTTTTAAATGCAATTTGTAATATTTATACAATACTTGTTAATTTTTTGAGATTGAGAAAGTTGTTCTTTCTTTTAATTCATGGATTTTTCTTTTTCTTTGAATGAAACTGAGCTTTTGGAATTAGCCAATTATAAAACTATTTAGTAAATCAGTCACAAAGAGATTCGTTACCTAACAAAACAAAACACGGCTTTCTTTCATTTTCTCCGTTTTGCTAATCTACATTATTAATTTTTTATTCTTTTTTGACGAGCTGAAGAACGTCTTTGATTGGTTCAAACAACCAGAAGAAGAAACGCCTCGTTTCTATTTTTATCCTCAAGGTTGCTTATTTGTTATTTGTGACGAAGACCAATAGAGGACGCTGACTTCGCCAAACGTGCCTCGGTCTATTGGGAAACTTTCGTAAGATAAACGAATAGAATAAAAACATTGTCCTGAAAATCTATCCATTTTTTTATGACTCGTTAATAGTTAATAGCTGTCTGCAAGAGAGGCTTAAAATTTAATTTTGAGCAATGAAGTACAAATATTGTTCAAACACAAAAACCTGTGCAAATACTTGTAACTGTAACAATGTATTCTCTTATAAAATATTAAACAACTTTATAAAATTTTCTTAAAACGGACGGCAGGTGTTTGAATTAAAAAAAATAATAATTGAATTACTTATTATAGTTGGAGAAAATTAATGTATGTATTGTTGGTTGAAAATTAAAATATTTCTATGAAAAGTGTTAAAAATAACAAATATCAAAATTGATTGAACCGTTCCAAATCGATTGTGTTGATAAGTTTGAATTTATTTATCAGTAATGTGATCTTTAATAATATAGTTAAAAATTACAATTAAACTATGTTGTAGTCAGATTAAAATTTGAAAAAATTATTGAAATATTGCTAGTTGCTTCAATTTAAAAATTTCAGTGGCTCAAGGAGATGACCTAGTTCACTGGCCACTAGGCAAGGCCTTGAATGCAGTGCTGCTTCATTTTAATAGTACTCACTCATTTTAATAGCCTCACTTTGTACGTAATATTATTTCTATTTATTAGTAAAATTATCTCACTTCATTTGTAACAAGTCGCATCTGGAGACCAGCTGGTTCACATTTTTAGATCAGTAGAATTGCAAGTATTTTTAGATTTAAAATTGTACAGTAAAAAATCAAAAGGCAAAAATCTGAGAAAGTATTAACTCATATTTGCATTTTCGACACTTATAAGTTTGTATTTTTAGATCTTGGATGTTTTGGGCCATTTTTCAGATTTGACGAAAATTTGCAATTAAAAATAATATTTGTTGTTCAGTACAATATATGCTATGGTTTTAAATTTAAAAAAAATGTTAATTGGCTCAATGGCACTTTTGAAGGTTACCAAAGCATGATAATGATAACAAATAATTAGCATTATTATCAATTGGAAACAAAAAGTTTTAGTATTAGCAATTTATAAATTTAAATCCCTTGAAATTAAAAGAGTGATTAGGCTATAAGGTATAAGCGCAAATGAAATTTTCTAGAGATGGTAAAATATAGTATTTCTTTAATTTTTTTATAGCTTATGTTAACTTACATACTTGTTTCTAGCACGCGTTTTATCAGGATTTAAACTACGAGTTAAGTGAGCTTCAGATATATCTCATTTTTCTCGAAATTTTGTCTGTTTTTCTGTCTGTCTAAAACTTTTGAAACAATCTGTAGCGATGCTTTGTCCATGACAGCACACGTTGAAGTAATAAAAAAAGACACTTTTTTTTCAGTATTTCAAGGGATTATATCCTTTTCGCTGTGATAGAAAATACTGCAAAAATGTTAGCAATCGATAACAAAAATCGCCGCTCCAATCGGTGAAGAAATTGAATTTACATCAGAGTAAGTTTAATCTGTAGCAACGGGTTTTAACAATGGAATTCCGCATTTTCAATTTTGTGCCCGAACTACATGACGCCGGAAAGTGGCGATTGTTTACAAATCACACCATGAAGATTTGCACACTGACGATTTGAAAAAAAAGAAGGAAAAAAAAAGAAGAAAAAACGATCCAAATCGGTACTTTTGTTCTTGATGTATTATCGAAAATTCATACAGAATTTCGTTTTTATATATACGTAGAGATATTACGCATAAGACTTTTTCCTCAGTTTAGTGTAAAAACTATATGTAGTAATTAAAACGAGAAAATGTTAACCAGCTTTTAAAATCCATCTTTCTTTCTTTAGAAATTGTTTTTCGAGTTTATTATAGAGATAATAAAAAAAAAATTTGAAATAAATAAGATCAATCTATTGAATGGTCTAAAATTGTGAATTTTTTTTAAAAAGTTTTAGATGATATGATGCGTCATATAACATAACGTAAGTTACACCGAAAATTCATTTTTCATGATTGACAGGCTACAAGCTTTAAATCATATTTTAAATTAGTCTGATGGTTAATTTATTTTCTTTAACATCTAAAAATAGGGAATA